CTAATCTGATATGCAGGCACAAACACCCACACACCTCCACAAGTCGGGTGAATAAAAATGTCACCGAAAGCGGCAACAACAATCAAGAAATACAATTTATACACAAGGACCCGTGCACAAAGGGTCCCACGAAATGGCGCCGCTGGCGAAAGGCAAACTAAACTCGTTGTCCTTGCGGAAAAAGGATGTGTGAGTGTGTGGGAGTGTGGCTGTGTGTCGCGCTGTGTTGCATGCAACATACCCGCTAAGTAGCTGGCGGATTGCGGGGGTGGCTGCTCCGGCGCGTGATCCTGCGAAAAGGTTGCCCGGGCAATTGAGTGTGAAAATTTTGTAGGCATAAGCGGAGCGCCAGGATGTTGACTAATGCACGAGCAGGCACTCAACTGGCGTGTCGATGTCCCCGCCGCCGCTCCTTGGGCTCCCGAATGTTGCTCCGACAGCTTATGAGCCAGGTCAAAGGGCAGTGACAGTGGCAGTGGCAGTGGCAACCAGGTGGCTCAGTAAGAGGCACCGGTGACGAAGCCGTCGACAAGTCAATAAATATGCTCCCAAATATTCATGGGCGACTTGTGCTCGAAACCGAAACCAAAGAGCGAAATCAGAGCCAAAAGCAAAAACCTGGGCCTTAATCACGTGGCGACGACAGTCGCATGTTTGCCACGTCTAATGCACAGGGTTCTGCCAGACGTCAGAGCATTGACATTGATTTGTTTTTCGTCCTGCCGCCGCTCGCTGCCGCCTCTCACTTATTTCGGGGATTGTAATACGCTTTTGATTTGCCCAGAAATTCCATTTTTCACAATTTAATGCGCATCTCGCTACGTGTTGTCGTCACTGGGGCCATCTGGAACGTGCCCGGGGCCCAGGCTGGATCCGGATCCCCCTGGCCTCGGCGCACATCTATCATAGTCCGGGCATTTGTCACGTGAGGGACAACGTGATTTCATTTTCCTGTCGCCATAAAGGTGACACATTGCATTCGTCCTGCTCCATTTGTTGTGTATTTGTCTAAGTACTAGTGTCTGTATGTGTGTGCTCCCGCGCCTTTGTGTATCTCTATTCGTTACTTTAAATGATCCGTTTGAAACTTGGCTTAATAAATACTAAAGCGTTGTAGAGCCCCACAAAATAAAAAGCGCCAGCAATTTATTCGGCGGTCGAGCGAGAAGCGTTCCATTGATTTTCGGGACCCAGGCTGGATAACATGTTGTTAAACCACAGGAACGCAAGCAAACAAATTACCCACAGCAGTTGGCCAAAAATTGTTCAACATAACTTCAGATTTTATGGCCCACATGTGTGCGAAAAGAGAATGGCGGAGCGCATAGAAAGCGGTGGGGCTTGTGGGTATTCAGTGTGGGTTCAGTGTTTCGCAGGGGGCGCAGAGTTTACTATCAGTTTGCTGCTCGGCCAGTGTGGCGGTGAAATTAGCGCTCCACTGCCTCGAAAGCTCACTATTTCTCCTAACCTGGCCAACAACCATTCTGCCCCCCTTTTCGGCCCGCAACTCGCCTCCAGTTCGGCTTGTTCGCCGTCTTTTGCGGCTTGGCCAAGTTTCATGTCAAAAGTGCACTCCATGAATATTTCACTTGCAATCACATTGTTTTCCCGCTAACTTTTTAGATTGTTTTAACATGTGGCGGAAGAGGGCGTGGCCGGTTGAGGGAGTGGCACGTAACGTTGCAACAACAGTATCAAACTTTGGTTTTCACTCAATTTTGGCAATGCTTTTCAGGCTTGTGGCCTCCCAACGCCCCCAAAAACTGTTCGGAAATTGTGTGTCCATGCATCGAAAGAAAAACTTTACTATTACAAAATTTAGACGTATAAATCGAAGTTGGACACATTTTAAAAATAATTTAACTGAATTATAAAATGAAAATCACTTTCAACTTCCTCTAACTAATAACAAATTTCTGGAGAACATTTGTTTACATTACAAAGCATCTGAAATATTTTAAATTATATTGGCCTTTATTTACCTACTTTTTGTTCTCTCTGTGCATCTATTCATGTGGTGCTGTGTGTATTTGCAGAGGTAATCCTTGATTCCCTTGTGCTAAATTTGCCAGTTCAGTTTGGTTCAGTTCGGTTGGGCTCCCTATCGCCTCACCCGTCAGATTGGAGTGCCTGCCCTTTGAGCTGGGCATGTTAACAGTGCGGGGAGCTTTGATGGGCGACTTCGTCTGGCCGAAATATGGGAGATTTATGCAGACGTCTGGCCAGCCAGGCAGTCAGTCAGTCGGGATAAAGGCCACTCCGGCATAAGTAGCAGCTCAAAAGATATTGCATGCCTGCCTTTGCCAACTGCTATGAAAAGCACCTGCTGGGATCTGCTCTTTTGGCGCTCTATCAACGGATTTACTATGTTAGCCCAAAGTTTGCTTCCGCTTAACGCAGCGTTTAATGAATTTCCATTTTTTTTGCGTTCTGTCCTTTTTACCCAGTTTGCTCGAGTGCTCGGCAAGCTGCCGCCGTTTCATTTGTCGCAGTTGCATCTCCGGCGCAGAACACCAGAGCAGGTGCGTCCCTGAGCCACCGTGCTGGCACTAGAAATTACAACAGTTGCAGCAGATGTTGCAGGAACAGCGAACAGCAGGAACCATGCCATTTTCTATATTTTATGCACTTTGCGTGCTACCAAAATTTTAGCAATTTTTTTTTCGCTTTTTCGGCTAGTCTCCCACCGGTGGGCGTAACTGCACACTTTTGATGAAGGTCAGCGGGGCGGTACTGGCGAATGAATAGTGGTGCTTCCCAGGGGCAAGTAAAAAAAAAAAAAACTAGTTTGATAATTTTCTACTCAAATTGAATATTTGCAACTGTATGTGAGGCAAACTTTTCTTATTCTCTGCGAATAACTTTAATGGAAAAACTTTGAATATCAAACCGCAAAAAACAAAAAACACTGGGCAAAGAGCGGAAGCAAGGGCCCGGGGGCCAAGAACGGGCATTAAAATTGGAAAATAGAAATTGAATTGTGGACACAGACATGAAAACGAGGCACCAAACTGACCAGACAGGCTCCAACAGAAAACTCAAATTCAAACTTCGGTTCAATGAGTGCATATTCACCTCTGGGGAATGGAGAATAAAATTGAAATCAAATAAATATGCAGGAAATATTCCTGCGGCACGTGTGAGTGCAAATGAGTGCGGCTTGCCGACTTCTGTCGGAGATTCTTTCATCTCTTATTTTTCATCTGGATGAGTCCCCCCTTTTGGATTTCCTGGGACGCGGATCAGTGCCCAAGTGGCACAAAGTCATTTGGTTTATTAGCACTCGAATGCCAAATCCCAAGACAACTGGCAGGAAAGGAAACCCCTTGCTTCCTAGCAAAAAGAAGAAAGAACTTTCCTCGTCTGACATTATTTCGTTATTATCCGCATCAAGGAGTCGATTGACAGGAGCACAGGCACGTGCTGCCAACGCCTTTATCCGTCTTGCGAAAATATTGTCACAAGCAACGAGCCGGGCTCAAGACAGACTAGCCAGGCTACAAAAGAAATTATATTTACCAGGCCAGAACGGCAGAGGAGAAAGAATAAATCGAGAAAACAAAACACAAATAGGCGGCACTAGTCAGGTCGGTCGGTCGGGCGAGTCCACAAAAAAAAACAGCAGAGCTGAAAAAATCAGCAAAAGAATCAAATAAAATGCCAACAACATGGCATCAAGGGTCGTGCCAAGTCCTGTCGCCTGACAGCCTCCACTTCTTTGCAAGTGCGTGCTGCTGACTTTTGGCTTTGCTTACCTATTTTTTCCAAGTTCTTGTGATCCCGCTCCTGCTCCCAAATGTTTCCGCAGCAGATAAATACAACATTTGACACTTCATTATTGTGCCCGCAGCGTAATCGAATCAATTCAATTCCAGGACCTCGGCTGGCCACGTCAGGCCTTGTCATGGTGTCAAAAGTGCTTGGTCTTCGGTCCTTCGCATCCGCACTCGCAGGACACTCCGCCCCCGCCGTTCATTGTTCATCGCTCAGAGCCCCAAGGCTCAAGGCAGCTTGCCCTGTTGACACATTCGCTTAAACGTATTAAATTGTTTGCCGTCGCCTTTTGGCATCGACGTTGTAGCTGACGCACAGTTTTTCTTGTTTTTTTCCGGGCACTCGGGGATCCTTGATGGCGCTCTGTTTGCGTGCGGAAGTGCGGCCAGCGTAGTTGTATCTGTATCCGCATTCTGCCTTGTCACACTAAAAGTAATCGATTACCTTGTAACCGGATATGAGCGTATCCGTTTTTCGGGGCGTTTCTCAGCTCGCCCCAAAAGTCTTTGTGCGGTGGGTTTAATTGAGTTTAATTGGGGCCGCCCGCAATGCCTGGCTATTTATGCAATAATCATTGTTTAATTACAAAACCAAATAAATACTCTAATGCCCTACATGCAGCAGAGGCCTTTGATGTGGTCACCGTGGACCTGAATAAATTATGCAAGACACGAATTACCTAAAACGCAATTGCATTGGTGTCGGTATGTGCGTGCCCGTTGGGTGTTGGCAATTGAATTAATTCAGAGCTCAGCTGGGTAATGCCCAAAAAGTATGCTTTAATATTTAAGTGCATTTTAACACTTTACACATAACAGGGACAAGACAGGATCCAAAACACCCACACACAAACTCCGAGATTGACATACAAAATTGATTAGCAAATCAACAGCAAGTGCATTAAATTATTCGCCCATCCTTGGCCAGTCCTGTGCGTAAATTTGACAACTTTCATTGGATGGGCATAATAAAATGCACTTTATGAACTTTCCGACATTTGACAAATATTCTTAAACGCACTAAACCAATTAGCCACACACATGCCCAGTGACAAGATGTTGTGTGTTGATCTAGATGATGACCAGAGACCAAAATGTGTGCACACACAAACCCGAAATGTGTGCGAGGCGAGTAATAATATTTTGAGTAATTTACTTTATATTTTGTACGAAAATACCAAAAGGCATTTGATATTAAAAGTCTGTCTCTCCTTATGTCCTTTGCAGTGTCCGCCCAAAGCATGATGACCAAGAACGAGCCCATGTTCATATCACGTTCGGAGACATTTAAATTTATCACCGGCGAGACAATAGTCCTACCCTGTGAGGTGGCCAACACGGGTGAGTAGTTGGGTAAAAGGAAAACCAGGGGCCAAGGGGGTGCGGTGAAAAACCCATTTTCCATCAGGCATACCGACACGAGCAGATTCACCCACGCAGTTTGCATTTAAATGCTGCGGTCGAAGGCTCTGCCATACAAATAATTAAGCCGACATTATGCGATGGCCACAACTATGCATTAATCCCCCGGCCGGACTAAATTTCATCCGACTGCTTACTGTCCGCCGGACTCCTCTGTCACTTGGACCGCAGAAAAACAGGACCAGCGGTCAAAACGGACAGTCCACCGGGTGGTTGGTGGCATCCATCCAAGACATGTGCGGCGGTTACGGCGTTTTTGCTGTGGTCTTCCGCTCCACTCAAGTCCTGGCATTTGAGCGCTGGCCGGTCCATGTACGTTTTTCAATTTAAATGCGGTCGTGTGTGCGAGATTATTTGTACATAACAAGGATTTAGCATAAGCAACAGCATCCGAGGAGCAGGCAGCCGGGAAAGACATGTGGGTGGAATAAAATAAAGCTGGGCCAAGACAATTCCGTCCAAGATGGTCAAAACTTGTGCCACTCGTCGGGGACAAATGCCACATAAAAACTCGGACCCAAACACTTGGAACACATTTTTTTGTACACATTAAAAATTTATCTTAACAAGATTTTTTTTTTAAATTTCTACCATTTTTTCATTGCTTAGTAGTTTTTAAAAATAATGTAAATATCATGAAGTTTCAAAATGATTTTTTTTATGACTATTTAGTTATTGTTTATGAAAAAGAAACAAACATAAGGTTGAAATTTAAAAACACAAAATAAAAGTTGTAAGAAAATATGTATTTTTTCACTCATCGAAGATATTTGATAAGGTATGATGTTGTGAACATTTTCTGAAGTGTATGGACACACATATGTATCCATTTATGTAGACGCATGTGAGCTTGAGACGTCTGCGGTGGGAGTATCCGTTTATAAGAAAAGGAAATACAGAACAAAGAATTTCATTTGCGTTTCTCATGCACTTGATTGCCTCTGACAAGGACGAACTCTCCAACTTCGACCAGGACGAGGAGCAGGACGAGGACTAAGCGCAGACCAATGCCAAGACGAAGACGAAGCTGGCAACGCTGGGGATGCGATACATAGACAATTTCTGCAACAAAATTATAGCTGCGGGCATTTGGGTACTAATAATAAAAAAGCAGGCCAGAGAACAGAAAATACCGGAATAAAGCACAAGAAAGTAAATATAAACGAAGGCAGCGGAGCGGGGGAAATAAATTGCCTGGGCGTTTGGTTTACTCTGCAGTGCCCCCAGTTTTCCACTTTGTCCCCTTGGCTAATGCCGCATTATGCTAATAAAGTGCCCATACGACAATTTCATTACTGCCATTGCTCAGCTCGCGGCTTACTCGCGCCCTTAAGCGAAATAATTAAAAGTGAAGCCGCAGCGCGATTTCTTTTTTTTAATAACGCACGATTTATAAGGCGTGCCCTTTAAAATATGATTAGGAACGAGTATCCGGCGATTTAGCCTGATTGCGGGCACAGGTGAAGCGGAACGCATTGCATCCCTTTTTATGGCCGCGAACATAAAGTGTAAAAAATAATTGATAGAATTTTTAAAACCGCACTAAAATGTCGAAACTCTCGCGCCCGGCACTTTGTACAATTTATGCGCATTTTCATTTCGTTTTATGGATGCAAACTCGTAAAATTCGTGAAGAAAGAAAAAACAAAAATCACACAAAGGACGCGTCGCTTGAGTGCGTGTGTGTTAGAATTTCCATATAATATGAAAATGCCTTTAAACACTTATTACGGAGCTTTGCACCCCGAAAGAGTAATCTTTCAGCTCGAGTGGGCCACTCTTCGTGGACGAGGGAGCGATAGTCGTGTCTGAATGCGAGTAAACAGTCAAACAGTGAAACATTTCATCATTATCATTTCATTTGAATTTTTATTTGTTCTTCAATGTCTGGCACGCCAAGTCTGTTTATTCCATTGTCTGCTTGTCTGTTTTCCTTTTTTCTGTTTGTTTTAGTCTCTGTCTTTGCCATATTCCTTTTTTCTATTCCAGGATTCCATCCAGAGTGGAAATACTTGTACTTATGTCAGTTCGACAATATCAATTTCCGAAAATCCAAAGATTTCTTTGATCATAAGAGGGGAACAGTTCAGTTCAGTTGATACTCTCAAAGCGTAAATATGCCCCAAAAGCTTAGACCTTTGTACAATATCTCATTCAGTCAGCCGAATGTCCTGAGCAGAAGGATGCAGTGGCGTGTCCTGCAAAGAAAACAAACAATGGCAGGTGTCAGGTTGTTCTTTTAGACCACTTTGCTTTGCAAATTTTGCATGTTAATCCTGTGCCTTTCGATCTAAGTAAATATTATTATATAATTTATGCCTGTAAACTGGCAAAATGTTTAAACTTTCCAAATATACAATATGTCTGAGATGGAATATTTCATTTTAGATCGCAATATTCTCATTTGAGAAGCCAATGTTTGTGCTTCGGCACTTATCTCGTAACACTGTTGCAGTTTTTAAGCTTCTCTAAATCGTCTAATTAATTGCTCTGGCCATTTTATCCACTGCTCAACTTGTCTGCATGCAAAGCCAGTATCGTGTGAATTTTTCAATGCGGTCTCGCTGCAACAGGGTCTAAACAACCAAACGTAATGGAAGGAGCAAAAACATTTAACAACTGGCCATGGCTAACTTGTAACTGGTAACTGGCTGTAACGGGCTGTGCGACTGTAAACACAAATGCAATAAAATTCAAAACACAAAAACCCCGTCATTGCGGCCATACAAACGCTCATTACGCTTTGATGGAGCGTCGGCGCTCGAAACTATTACCCGGCAAACGGAAATGGAATCGTACCGCAAAAGTTGAAGTTGTGCAAACAGCAGAACGGACCACTCGACTTTGCAGGGAGTATGGGCGGTAGAGCGGTACGGAGGCAACAAAGTTTCAATATTAATGCCATTTACAGTTCTAATTTCGCTTTTTCCCGTACACTCACACACACACGCACACACAGGAACACACTTAACACACTCACACCCGGGCAAACATACTCGTACAAAGTTTTGCAAGAAGTTGCAGATAAGTCTGCCTCCTGTTACCGACTCTTCGCTCTAGATTGCCTGCGGCGGCTAAGCCGCAACATCGTTTATCTTCGGGGGTCATCATCTTATAATATTGGCCTTTCCGACATGCAATAAATTGCGCTCAGACAAACAACATGTCCGTTGGTCGGCCTTTGGTCCGCTTTACCAGCTCCACTCCACACTGTGAGAAAATCGGGCTCAAGGCGGACGATGGCTGGCATATTGCGCATACGCACAGTATGCCCAGAGCAAACAGACAAAGGCGCTGCAACAATGCGAGCATTGGCCATATTTGAATTGGTCCTGTGTGTGTGTGTGTGTGTTTTTGTTGGTTTGCCTGTTTATGTGCATATGGCGGTACATATGTGTGCATGTAGTATCTCTGTCACTGGGTGAAGTGTGGAAAACTAAAAGTTGGCTTTCGGCCGTAAACAATGAACCAGCGCTCTGCAGCAGGACGTGTGTGGTCGGCCATTTGTCCAGGAGAAGGCCGTGTTTATGTGAGCCCAGTGAGGATGAGCCCGACATACAAAAAACCGAAATGCTTTTACCGAGTTTCCGCCCCACGCCAGCCACTCGTTCGTCCTCATCCGTTTGCTCCCGCTCCTGTTCCAGATCCTGCCGCCTGCCTCCTGCTCCTGATTTCAGGACTTGCCGCTCGCTTAACGGCACAATTGTTTGCATGTATTGTTGTCGTAATGCCCTCCCCCCTTTTAACCCTCCTTTCTTCCAACTGAGTATCTGTCTGCGTTTCTATTTAGTTTAGAACACTTAAACCGGAAATTGAGGCGTTTCGTGTTTTGCTTGTTTTCGTTGGATTGTTGTTATTTTAGTTAACAATTTATTTAGTTGCAGCCAGGCAGTGGTACACACATGAACAAGGCTCCTGATTTATGTGTGCCCTTGCAACGGACAAGAGTCCTGAGTCCAGAGTCCAGAGCGCAATCTTAGCTCTTACTCTGCTGACGAGGTATGCCAGTGCTGCTAATTTTCCCTAAAGAAAAAAAGGCCACAGAGGCTTACGAAAATACAAACCTATTCTTACCAGCTATTTTTGAATTATTGTATCTGTTACTTAATCTTTTGTATTTTGTGTATAGCACTAATTTGTTTCATGGACAGGTGTTGTTTTATATTGGAAAATTTTAAAAATGCTGTTGTTTTTTGAAGCATTTTTACTTTTTTTTAAATTTAGAATTTCTTGAAACGAACTGACAGCTCTAGAACAACACCAGCCAATTAGTGCAAAGTCGATGAAATTAAGCAATTGTGTAGCTTGGATATTCCCCTAGGAAACCAAATAATTGACAGCCCGACTTGGGCAATTCGAAAGCTCTTGCCCAATTTGCATATCCCTGTGCCAAAATTGACTTGGCAATGTACCAACTACAACTGACGTTGCTTCATTCATAACTCAATCAAGCGGCTAATATGATATGACTGCACTCCGCCAGCACGTACATGTTGCAACACCCGACCCCTTGCCCCTCTAATTTCTAAGCAGGATGCATGCGAGGAGTGGGACTCCGACGCCGCAGTGGCAAGCCCACAACTCAATACCCTAGCACCTCGTCATCGCCACCCAGGCAGCCTAAAGAATTGTACGTTCCTTTCCTTGCCGAGTTGGTTTCTCTTATTCTGCGGCAGGGCACACCATCTACATATCCCTGCCACCCAATCGGAGCTCCATACTGCAACCGCAACTCCTCCTCCGAAGCCTTTTAGAGCACGCTAACGACAGCAGGTGGTGCTCGTTTATTTATTTGTTTTTGCAGTGCACTGCGCCTGCATTGCTGCCTGCCTTTCAGCTTTTCATGGTGCCGGAGACCGTGTGCCTTGGCTTGTTGATGTTGTTGAACTCATTGCAAATAAATACGCTTTTTGAATGCGCATGTAAATGACTTCATAAGCATTTTATTACAGCCCAGCCAACTCGGCTGAGGTCCTGCTGCACTCACTCACTCACTCATCCAGGGCTGTGTGTGCGTGCGAGGTGGAATCAATTTGTAAGGAAGAGTGGCCTACCCAAAGTTGCGGTCAAATTATTATTTAAAATATTTAATTTAAATTTTATATTATTTTACTTTGATGGTTAAATATATTTGCGATGGCTTTATGGACCAACAAATAAACTTATGAAGACTTGTGATTATAATTTAGCATTTTTTTATTGAAAGTTATTATGATTTATTGGCAATAGAGGAAAAGTATTTTTAAATACTGGCAAATAAACAAACCAATTAAAAAAATTCTGTTTTCGTCCACAAATCATTAAAAACAACATTAAACCCAACCATTATTTAATTCGAATTAAATCCTTTAAACGTTTGTCAATGGAAGATGCCATATTTTTGACCGCATCTGTGAATCATTTTTCCTCCTCTCTTGACTTTTTGGCAGCAGAAGAGCTCACTTAGTCATCGAAAGCGGGCAAAATTGTTTTAATTTTTAATGAACGCCGCCCGTCAGCTCCGAAACACGGAAGTCATACATCATTAGTAGCAAATCCGGCAGCTTCAATACACATCGCAATACTTCTGCTTCTCCAACTGCTGAGTTCCCTATGCCCTGTCCCTATATTTCCCCTGCCGACCATCTATGCCCTGCACGCGCGCGGAAATTTACATCGAGCAACTCACATAAATTGAAAAAGGAATCACAATTAATGAGTTCGATGAATACGCCATTGCCATTGGACTGTAGTACGTGAGTGATTGTGTGAGCGTGTCTATGAGAGTGTTTGTGCATGTTGGAGTGGACCTTCATCATCTGAAATTGATAATACAAATGATTAATAACTAAGCTCTTTAAAAATATTGTGGTGTGAAAGTACAAGCCAAGGGAAAATAAATTAAACAAAATGATTTTGTTAAACAGAATTTTAGTTGCAATTATTTAGGTCTGGGGATAGTTTATATCCCCTTTGATTTGGTAAGCAAGTAATGTATGGAAAAAGGAAGAAAAATTTATATAAAAATAAATAAATAATATTTAATAAGAAACTACCCTTTATACAAATTCAAATTGGAATTGATTTTATTTATAATTTAAACAAAGATAATTAACTAATTAATAAAAATATAAGCTCATAGGAGCTCCTAAATTGGCATATTAAGAGGTCCACCCTGGCTTACATGTTGTCTGCCAGGCATCCTTCCTCTGACATCCTGTTATCCTATCTGCCTCCTGCTCCTGCCGCAGCTGCTGCTGTTGAAGGCATCCGAGTGTCTGAATGCCTCTCATTCTGGCATATGATTGCAAATGCCGCACATTAGCGGATATCAAGTGGGTGTTACTGAGTGCCTGTCTGACTCTCATCCAGTGTTGTTCATGCCGCCTGTCTGCGGTTTATATTCCACTCTGGATCTGGATCCGCCTCTGGCTGCGTGTGTGTGCGGGTCCATGCCAAATTGAATTTCTAGCCTTTTTAGATCCTTTGAAGCGGCCCGTAATTGAGTCATTTGAATTCTGACTTTTCAATTTGCGCTGCCACTGCACTGCAGGCACTCGAATCTGCCATTCGAATTAAAAACTCTCGAACATAATTTATCAATTATAAATTCCAACTCTGATTTCGTTTTCGTTTTCGATTCGCCTCTCGTTGCAGACACGTACGTTGTGGCCTGGAAACGCGGCATTGCCATATTAACCGCCGGATCCGTGAAAGTGACGCCCGATCCCCGAGTGCGCCTGGTCAACGGATTCAATCTGCAGATACGCGACGCCCTGCCAACGGATGCCGGCGATTATATCTGCCAGATTGCCACCATGGATCCGCGCGAAATCACCCACACGGTCGAGATATTGGGTAAGTAGGCCTGCTCACAAATTTGCCAACGACTTTTCGGCACTGGCGCATTGTTATGCAAAGTTCCAATCTCCCAGATTGGTGTTCCATGGGATTTTTATGGGCGAAATTTATGCGGCCGGCTCAAATCACTGGGGCCCCATTGTTAGGCTTCATCATTTGGGCACCGGCAACGGCATCGGCATCAGTTCCGCTGTTGTATGTGTTGGTCAAATTAACATATCCTTACATCCTTAGTGCCAAGTGCTTTATGCGTCCCGGCCACTCAAATATGCAAAGTAGGTCGGCTGCAATTTGGCCGCTTTACGGCCAAAGATTCAATAGAGAGTGGAAATTTTGGGAGCGTTGAAAAAATCAAAACTAATCTGCCATTTGCCCGGAATCGCTGCTCCTCCCTCGATTTTGGTCCACTGCAAAAACCCCCTGGAGAAGAAACTGGCGAGGCAGAGAGCGGATGCAAATTGCTGCTCCTTTGGCTCCGGGTCCTGCTCAACTACTTCCTGCCGGAGACCCGTTGTGCCTAACAAGCGTACGGCTCAAGCTTTGTTTCTGGCATCTTCTGGGGATCCCGGCTACCCTGGGTATCCTGGGTATCCCGAGTATCCATCTTTTCCCAGCTCCCTTTTCCATTCTCTCCCTTTTCCCCCCTTTCCTTTGGCATGCGTCTTCGGCTTGGCTTCTAATCAGCAATGATGAATAATTTACATATATTTCCCCCCAATTACAATGTTGCCCTTTATTTGCATACGACTGTGTGTGGCAGCCACGCCCTCCGCCTGGCTAACACTTGCCTTTTAACTGCTCCACCCGAATCCTCGTCCTGTAAAATGTGAAATGTGTGCGGTGCATGCAAATTGCGATACAATTCCCCAAATCTCCAAAGTGCCCTGTCTCGCTTTTTCCCGCCTTTCAACTCTATCTCTCGCCGAGTTTGAAACGATTGAAAAATAGTTTTATTGCCGCCGACTTAAAGGCGCTTTAAACGCGTATGTATGGATTTGCGCTAAAGCATTATTCGCAAGAACAGGCCTATAAAAAATGCGTATTTATTTTAGCGGCGACAACTTTTTTCATTTGTCATTGAAACTTGGTCCTGCTGCCTTGTGGTTCTGCTCCTGCCTTTCCAGCTCCTCGACTTTTTTTCCGGGCATCGCCGCAGGCCAACATTAAACGGAAAAGCGGCAAACAAGAGAGAGGGAAAAAAGTCGATTATTGAAAAGTTTTGTTTATTTTATGTGTTTATTATGCGCTCCGTTTGCCAAATAATGATCATGGCCAGAAATATTTCGTTTATTGAACTTTCGCAGCGCACGTAAATTTCTCGCCCCTGGTTTTCTGCCGTTGCCTCCGCGCCCAATCTCCATTATTGTCAAAGGAGAAAACAGGCAAAATAATGCGCTGTCGAAGTTTTTATAGGCTCAGCAGCAGACACGGCCAGCAGTAGCGGCCAGTAAAGCCACCCTCCGCAAAAATCAGATCCAAACCCAAGGACCAGCCCCGAATTCCAGAAACCAGTCCCAAACCCCCAAAAAACCCACCCATGTGGCCCGGCGTATTCGTATATAAATTTCATAAAGTTTGCCGCTCTCTGGCATCTCGGCTTGGCAGTTTTTACGAGCGTAAATTACTTTCAGTTTGGCTCACACTAAAGATGAAAAAATAATGTGCGCCACTGCCAAAGTTTTCGCCGTGGCCGTAGCACTTACAAAGACATTAGAACGGCAATGGCCAAAAAATGGACCAGCATTGCTGTTACCCCTTGGGCAAGAGCAAAACAATGGCCAAAAAGTTTGCCCGTTGACAAATCTTTTAATATGACCCGGGCATTAATATCTGGCGGCCCCGCAATAATTGCAGATGTCCCAGGACATCTGGCATCGCCACTCACCTAGCTCTGTCTAACCGACAAGGAGGAGGCTTTAATATTTGATGAGGCCGCCAAGGTTTCTATCTGTTGGCCAGCAGTCAACATGGGGTGCAGATCCTGGGAAACTGTGTCAAGGACTTGAAAGCATTTTCGCTGGGATGCAGCTGCAGCGGGCATTATTCATGTGACGTTTAATAAAACCAATTAGGCTTCGACATGGCCCATCCACAATCCATCCATTAGCCGTTGGCAGGCTGTCGCCACTCGGTTTGGTTTTTGGTCAGGTTGGCGGAATGATGGGATGGCTGGCTCACCCAAATCCAACCGCAAAACATTATGTTATGCGGTGGCAGTGCGGTCAGGCGTTGCGGCAATTTGCACATTTTTATTACGTCCGAATCGGTGTGATTTTTAAATTCCTTTCGCGTGTGACTTTAAAATCGCCCGTCCACCAATCGGATTTCACTTCATTCAAATATCACGGGGGATCTCAATTAGCTGGGTAATTAGAGGGCCGCATCACAAAAGTCCAAGTCAAGGTTCCAGCTTAAAGGTTCGATAACAATGAAATCATTGAACCGGAAAGCATAATTATTGCACCGACTGTGTGTGTGCGGTTTGGCATAGAAATCGGACACTGGTGTGATTTATATGCACAATATGCCAAAACAACTGTTCACGGGCACGGCAACGGACAGGGAGACGGATGTGGATGTGGCCAACTCAGGTGGAGACGGGAGACAGGTGCAGAGGACAGGAGAAAGGAGAAAGGAGAGAGGGGGGACGCATTTAATTATGGCCGGTTGGCCGACAATAGATCCCTGTACAATGGGCGGAACAACAATGTTTGTTCAATAACAAAAGATGCTGGCGTGGGCGTTGTAGGTGTGGCATATAATTATATGCCACAAGGACGATAAACAAAAGCCACACACACACACGCACACGGGCACCACTTCTTTGGATACTTGAGACAAATTACCAACAGGACACTGCATGAGCTGCTGCAGGAGCCCACAATTAAATGCCTGGCTCTCGCTTGGCAGCCTCCTAAGTTTTAGCACTAAACTTTATCGGTTGCAACAGAATATGGATTTAAATTACTTAGCAGACAGGCTCCCAAGTTTTGCTGCCCACAATCTGGCGCACTTAAAGTTAAAGCCTGTCCGGGAGCAAATATGTGTGTGTGTGTGTGAGTTTATGTGGGGGGGGTGGGGGGTTTGGTTGGTCGGTCGAGTGGATGAGTGTGCAACTTTGCATGCCGCAAAACCAGGACCCGAAGTTGAGCCACAACCATCCGCCGTGGCTGTTTCGAAATCAATATGAAACAAACTCTGTCAAAACTGGCCGCAACCTCCGCTCCACCCCTCACCCCTCACCACCCGTTTCGGCTTCTGCGGCGGATGCTTTGAAAGAGCTGCTTATTAAAATTTTTGCCAGCTGCCCGCAAACACAGCAGCAAAGCCATCGTCACTGGCAGTCTAGAAGATTGAGACCCATTAAGAAGTCGTCATCTGCATGACATTACATGCCGCAATCCACGTATTACATGCGGCACAGTCGAAATCAATTTCAGTTCCAGTCCCCGGGAGTCGAGTATTAAAAGAGCTTTGGCCCCCCGCACTCCCCCTCTATTACAGCTAGACATATTTATTGAATTCAATATGAGAGTGTACAAAGCGTGAGAATATTGAGCATATACCAAACAGACAGGAAAGTGGGTAGCGATATGCCCTCCTGCAACTTCATTGCGATTTATCCGAGTCCTTCTCGCAGTGCCTTTTGCCAGGCTCATGATTTATTACAGTCTAATGCATATTTTGTGGCTGCATGAGGACAGAGCTCTGCGCACACGAGATACAGAATAAAAAATGATCTACACTTACCTTAAATTCAATGCTTATTGAACTATAATATAATATATAATATAAAACTAATATTTTAAAATAATGATAGGTGTTACATAAATTGCTAAGATTAGGAAATTACTTTTGAGGACGTCTAAGATATGCAGTGAAATAACCATCGTTGTTTGTTCCTTTGACTTTAGGACTTAAAATCTTGTTGCACACTTTTATACATTTGTACAAATGAATTCAAGGCCCTAGTTATCTCCGTGGCACCCCCTTATAACTCAATTATGATTTAAAAATATATGTGCAGTACTTTAAAGGGCCGTAAATCTTTTTTTAGCATTCTAGAGCCTTTCAATCGTTTATATTTAAAATATTTGTATTATTTTTTTCGGTGCAGCTGTGAGCTACGAGCCATGAGCTATTTGTGCGCTCCTCAGTGATCAATTGTAATTTCCTTTCGAATGCAAATATCCCGGAGAGCGAGGGCACTGTGCTATCCTTGCTGGGCTTATTTGTTTTGGCCAGAGCAATAGAATATATTATTTGATATATTGCAAATCGTATGTACTTTGAAAGAATTGCATCAATAACACATGTTTGTGGGTCCACTGGCGTAGTGAGTGATAATTCGATTGGGGCCTAATCAGTTCTGTAGGGCAGCCCAGCCAACCCCTTTTCGGAGACGCCCCTGTGGAGATGGACTCTCATTTGATATGCATGTACATGGGAGTCGAGTATATTGAAGTGTCTCTGTGCGCCTTTTGGTTTATTGAGCTGTTGATACTCGCACTTAAATGTGGAAATTTCTGGGGAAAACCAGACATCAGCAAAGTGTGTGCTGGCCTCAATTTACGGGCCAACCAAATGAATGAAATCCCCCAGAGCAGCAAAATAACAACGAGGCAAAGTGAATAAAAACAAAAAGACTAAAAGTAAACCAAAAATCACATAGCAAACAAAAACAACAACCGTCATCCATTTTGTAGCCCAAAAAATATAATAATGCATAGGAAATGTCCATAAAATGGAATGAAGCCATCGAAAACGGCAGCTGGCATTGTCCTTGATTTAGTCGCCCCACAGCAGACATAATTTTTAACAGCTGTAAAATAATGCGGCCGCAAATATAAATAAACGCCGGTCTCGAATTAAATCAAACTATGCCCCGGCGGGGTCAACAGAAAAAATAAAAATGGGGATCCGAGGGGTAATTTCAGAGTCTAAGTCCGAAGTCCGAGACGCGTAAATGCCGTTTTCTCTCATTCAATTTGCATTCGGGGCGCATTTATTTATTCAAATTGTGTGATGTCCTTGCCTGGCCCCACTTTGCATACATTTCGGTGGACATTGGGGACACTGGGACTGTTTGGCCATTTCTAATGTGTTTTCTGCTCTTCCTTTCTGTTTATTTTGCCTTCAGTGCCGCCGAGGATTCATCACATTAGCACCGGCGGACATTTGCAAGTCAAGAAGGGCTCGTCGGTGCGAATCGAGTGCTCGGCCACGGGTAATCCAATGCCGAATGTGACTTGGAGCCGCAAAAATAATATTTTGCCCAACGGTAAGATTGCGCATAAATGCGAGGTCGAGTGCCGCAGCCCAAAAACAAAAAGAATACCCACCGCCATGTAACCAAATAACCGAGCAACCAACCCAAGCAAATTAAAATCATAAAGAGCAACAAAGGACGAGCCGCGGAGGCCAACGTAAATGAATACAGTCGTAAAAGAAACTTTAAACAATTTCCATAAAAATGGAAAGTCAAAGAAATTATATTCTGCCCTGTTTTCGCCGACCGCTTTGTTCGTCCTTTATTATTAAATATAATGCTCACTCTGCCGGCAAAATCGCAGTGTGTGAGTGTGGCTTCTTTGGTGGTTTCTTCGTTGTTTGGTGGTCAACACGCGGTGAAGAGGCGACTCCGGCCGGACATCACTGTCACTTGGCCGCACGTTGATTCGCCGTAATTGGCTCTGTCATTTCTTGGGCTGCGGCTCTCGGCTGGACACCCGGACTCTGGGTGTCCCGGCCTCATTGAGTTGCATTTTTCATGCGGTTTTCATGGCTCTCCATTGCAGGCGAGGAGAAGCTCCACTCGCACGTCCTCTCCATCGAGAATGTGGATCGGCACAAGGGCGGCGTCTACATATGCACTGCCAACAATCGCGTCGGCCAGCCCGCTTCCAGCCAGGTCGTGCTCCATGTATTGTGTAAGTATGCCACCCACTTCCATATTTCAACACTTAGAAAATTTATTGCACTTTTCAAAAGTGGAACTTTGAAAAATCACATTAAAAAGGGACAAAAGGCCTTGTTCCTTTTTATAGTCATGAATATTTTGATGGCACAAAAATAAATACTTTATGTTTAATTTTAATATTAAGTTAATCAAAATGTGATTATAAAAAAAGGTTGCTTTATTTACATCCATATATTTTTAGAGAACAAAAGTCAAATGAATCTTTAATATTTTCAACAATTATTATTCTAAAGTGTAGACACACAATGGCAGCGAAACGAATTAATTTTTCCTGAACGCAACTGTGCCACGGAGTTCGACTGTCAGTCCAATTTATGTCAAATCTGATTTCGATTTCGAACGGGTATTGACTTTTAACGTTTTCGCGGCACATGCAGTGGAGTAGACGATGGAGTCATGGCGGGGTTAAGGGGTGTGGGCGTGGCTGACCGCCCACCAGCGAAAGGGAATGCTTTTATTACATTTACACACTTACCGACATTTATTGGTTGGCTGGCAATTATTGAAATGCCTGGCGGGGACTCCCGTTCGTTCTGACATTTATTAAAGAATTTATATGTATAATTTTGATGGGAGTCCGTTACAGAAGAGGTCATTACATGTGCTAATTACATGGCTCCCATCTCTATTTACACTTGGTGGCCCCGATGGCCAACGGGGCCATTGGCCATTGATTTTTCGCGCTGGCTGCCATTCCGTGAGACAGGACAATGTTCATGTTATTAACTAATTTCTTAACGTTCTCTTCTCCTTTTTTTTCGCCCGCAGTTTCGCCGGAAATCTCCGTGGAGCGTCCCGTGGTCTTCTCGGGCGAAGGGCGCGAGGCCACGCTGGTCTGCATCGTCCACGGCGAAACACAGCCTGAGGTATGTTTTAATTAAATTTCATACATAAATTTTCATTATCGCGCTCGCTCACTTGGAAACATGTACCACGAACCATACGCCCCCGCAGCGACAGCAGATACAGAAATACACGGACAGATTCGAAAGCACATATAGCGTTCCATAGATGTATCCATAGATTTAGCCATCTCGGGGAGTCCATTGTTTTGGCTTAGCCAAAAGCAGCTGCCTGCCGACTGCTGCTGCCACCACGCATTAATTAAAAGTCTACAAAGGCAAATTGAAGTGCACTACAAAGTGCAAATAGGAGATAAAGGGACGCAGCAGGACGAACAAGAAAGGCGTCGAGCATAATTTTAATCAAACATCGCTCACAAAAGCATGTCGCCGACGTCCTTGTCGTTGTCCTGTTGCCCATTGCACTTGCGAAAGCCCAGTTTTTCTGCAGTAATTTCGACTCCACTTTTGGTCGGGATCTCGCTCTCTTTTACTCTGGTGTTTATTTTTGTGCTCTGCGCCTTTTGTCGACATTTAAATTAATACGCTCGGCTATAATTCAAAGTAAAATTGCGGAAGTTGCCAAAGCGGAAGTGAGAAGCGGCGGGCTAACGAAAAAAAAAGGACAAAGGAAAAGCCAAAAAACTGAAAAGAAAATGACATGGCGCACACACAGGCGAGAAGAGGAGAGCGGAAATGAAGCGATAGGGATATACTAGGGTGATCCTCTGTAAAGAAAAATAATAATTATGTATATTCCTAAAATATAATTTTTACAATTTCCAACAATCGTTACATGTGCTAGCCAATCATTTTTTCAAAGCAAATAAAATGCATTGTTTATTAATAAATTAAATTTATGAAAGAAAATTCTCTGGCATCGTTTAAAATACCGATCAGGCGACTCACTGGCCTTAAAACCAGAATGTCTTGCATTACTTTCTTATGCCTGTCCAATGAAACTCAAATCACCAGTCGTAGATCCTGAATTTCTAAAAAAAAACCCCAGGTCCACCCTAGCGTATACAAAGGAAACCCGAATAATGACTTGCAACCGCAAATGTCAATCCTTAAAATTATACAGCTCCCGTTTCATTTCACTTTGTTTCGTTTCATTTTGGCCCGATTCGTGGTAAGTTGCGCGTCTGAGCCAGTTCCACGAATTCCGACAGCGCATTAAGTTTTTATGCTATTTAATTTTTAACATTTCTTTTTTTTCGGCCCTCGTTTTGTGGCCGCAAAGAGTTGACTGCTTTCCAGTGAACAGCGTAACTATTTATTTGCCAGCTAGCTGCAGCTTTTTATTTGCACTGTCCGACACATTTCATTATAGTCGTTGGCCCCTGGACCCTTAACCCCCTACAGCCCCATCCGCCCTTTAACCCCCCAAAGCCCAGCGTCACCGTCAACGCCTTCTGCTTTGCATTGTGCATGCCATCGGCAGTTGACGGACCACTAGGCGGTGGGCGGAGGTCGGTGGGGGCGTGGCATTTAGTGGTCTTTGAGAATGGCATTTCCGCATGCAATTTTTACATTTGCTTTTCTCTCTTCGTTTGCCCGCAGTTCGTCATTTTCTCTTCATTTATTAAATTTTTTTTTTTTTGGTTTACCTCTTTTTTATTTTGTTTTCCTGTGGCCAAGTGTATACAATTTAAGGCTTCCTTTTTGGCTGTTTTTGTGGAGCCTTTTTTAACGAGCCTCCAAGTACTTGACTCTGCTCCACCTGCAACAGCATATATACAATTTTTAAGTGTGCCACAGACGCGAGAGTTTCGGATTTTTTTGATTAGCGGCTGAGATGTTCTTGTTTCCGACCAGAATGTTAATTAAGAAATTTGATGGAATGTAAATCCCACAGTGCCAAAGGTCAGTTTAATTAGTTAAACAGTTAAAAGTTGACAGTTATCCATGGTATGCCGCAGGGCATGTAATTACGGTTTAAAATCTGAAGCGAAGAATTTCAGAATCGATATTAGCGGAATTTATATAAAGACATAAAGACGTGCAAACGATGGAACAATGGTGCAAATTATCGACAGTCCTGATGGAAAATGTAGATATGTCTGTGGCTGTGGCCACGCATCATTGTTTATATTTTCCTGGTGCTGGGTGCAATTTCAATTATGTCTTGTCAACGATGAGCAGGCATCGCGCTGCGGAAAAACCGCAAAACTATGTCACACGGAGGGGGAGCATATTAATTATTTATCGTGCATTGAAAGGTACTCCACACGCACACACTCACAGATTCCCAGACTGCCGCCTATGCACTGGCACTTAGGTGCATATTTACATATTAATTACGCATTGCACCGCAAGCCCAAGTCTGGCATAATCATAATCCATTGATATTGTCGATTTGTTGCATAATGAATATCATAAACAAGCACTAAGCTCTGCTCGTTCCTCTGCCCCAGAGCCACCCAAACGACCCAATCACCCGCCCGCAACAAAGTCATTAGAGCAATTGTCATTAACATGAGCGACGGCAATGAGACAACATCATTATCAACGTCATCGGGCGGCAGTATTGTCAACGATGTTGTCGCCGTCATCGATGTCGGACGCATTAAACATGCAACAGCATTTGACAGGGCCTTCAACGTCAGCAGCTAACAGCATTAATGGGCATCCGCTTGGACAGCCACTGTTGCCTAATACGCCCACACACACCACCCACTCATTGTGCCCCCACTGCCACACCACCCACTCCTAAACAAGGACTCTCGTTCTGATGAGCTTTCATCGCTCATCACCGCGCGGGGAACAGGGAAATATTCCAGCCATGCCGCTACTATGGCTTTTAATTATTTTGCAAATTAATTTCCAAATTGGTAATTTTCTTCACATTTACACACACTCCCACGAAAGCAGCAACAGCCCACCTAATGAGTTTTTGTGCCGGGTGAAGGACTGCAAGTTAGCCTATTGGATCGTTCCGAAATGAGATGTTTAGATGGCACGAAATTGCGAGATAATTAGAGAACCGGTTGCTCTGGAAATTGCTTGCCAACAATGTCAGAAAACTACTTGATATACACATTTATAGTTGAAGTTTACTATGATTTTAGGCAGGATACCAAATTAAGCGTCCGTTAAGATATTTTAAACATGATCTGAGTACACATAAAAAAGATTTGTAAAGCCTAGCTTATGGCCCAAAGCCTGAAAAATCAAGTCGAGTTTCGTTTTTAGTTTCTTACTTTGATGTATTCGTTATAAAATTATAAAAAACAAGAAAGGAAAGCTAACTTCGGGCGGAGCCGAAGTTGAAATACCCTTGCAGAATATTCTGCAAATTATATTCTCCAAAATTATTCATATGATGCATTCTTAATACTCATAAAAAATCCCAACTTCCTAACTTTAAAAACACCAAAGTTATTGCATTTCCGATCAATCAGTTATATAGCAGCTATAGGATATAGTCGGCCGATCCTTATGAAATTTGGTACGTCGTATTGATTGGCCAAATATAAAACCCATAGAAAGTCCCAACTTCCTAACTTAACAAACAGCAGAGTTATGGCATTTCCGATTAATCAGTTATATGGCAGCTATAGGATATAGTCGGCCGATCCTTATGAAATTTGGTACGTCGTTTTGATTGGCCAAATGTAAAACCCATAGAAAGTCCCAACTTCCTAACTTAACAAACAGCAGAGTTATGGCATTTCCGATTAATCAGTTATATGGCAGCTATAGGATATAGTCGGCCGATCCCGGCCGTTCCGACTTATATACTGCGTGCAAAGGAAGAAGGGTGTGTGCAAAGTTTGAATTCGATATCTTTAAAACTGAGAGACTAGTTCGCGTAGAAACAGACAGACGGACAGACAGACGGACAGACGGACAGACGGACAGACGGACATGGCTATATCAACTCAGGAGGTGATCCTGATCAAGAATATATATACTTTATAGGGTCGGAGATGTCTCATTCACTGCGTTGCACACTTTTGACCAAAATTATAATACCCTCTGCAAGGGTATAAAAACATTATATTTTGGTTTTCTTAAGGCTAATCCCAAAGCAATCAACTGGAGTTTTAGTTATTTAATGAAAACCATTGGATATAATGCTCAAATGTTGAAATGTTATACCCCGTATTTTTAACCGATTTTCGCGAAAAATGATGATAAAAATCCTTATAAAAAATATGCAAAAAAATATTTTTCCAAGTTATTCTTAAGTCCATAGCTTTTGGCTGTGCGTCCTATTTTGGGTAATTAAAATAGTAAAATTACTGCAGCTCAATGATGTCCTTTGGGCAAACAAAAACGAAAATCAAAACTTTCAGAGCTTCCTTTATAGTTACTTGTATGCTATACTGTTATATATTCCAGAAAAGTTTGAAGTGTTTGCCCGATTATAGACTTAATGATATAGTAGGCCGGCACTCTAAACTGCTGTTAAACTGCTATAATTAATTACCCAAAAGTTATTTATTGTCATTATCTAATTTCTATTAGCTTTTCCCAGGACGGCAACTTTGGGGAGCAGCTGGGCCCTGGCCAATTGGTGTAGGCAACAACTTAAGTCAAACTGTGGCCATTAACAGCGACACCAGTGAAACCTAGCTAGCAGCAGTTTCGGTTGGCGATCCTATTCCACACGCAACGCAACTCTCGTGTGTGCGTGCTGGCGTGCCAACACGGCGTATGCGTAATTCCCACATGCCTCTTGCAATTATTTGTTTGGCTCTCGTTTTTTCTTTGGCGCGTTTTCACTCGCAGCTGCCACCCATCTAACAACACTCTTCCTTTGGCAATTTCCGTTGTGCCAGCGAAGGAAGGTATTGCATAATAGATTGCCAGTCGGAACGGAAGGGAAAAGGAGCTGGGTGTCGGAATATAGAAGCCAGGATTCGGGAGAAGGGAAAGTAGAATGAGAGTTGGCAATGGCACGCATACTCTTTTCTTCCTTCTTTCCTTTTGGCTGATTAGTGTTGATTGGTATTTCTCGCTTTGCTGCTCATCAATGCTAATTTCTTGCCGCTTCTTCGTCTCATTCCGCTTTGTTTTTATTCGGGCAGCTTCAAAGTTAGCCAAGTTTCTTGTTTCGATTCGATTCGAATCGATGCGATTCGTTTCCTTTCTCTTGTTCACGTTCCGCGCGTACGGAAAGCATTTGAAAATTAAGCGCAAGTGCAAAAGATTGATTGGCGCAACATTTGCGTGGATCTATTAATGAAGTGCACACAGGGCGGCCAATCAATTGCCATTGCCCCATTATTTTGGAGGTGAAGCAATTAATTCGGTTAGCCATCTTCAGCCAGCGGACAGAAATATTAAATAAAATAATTTCTGACCATTTTTCTGCCACGTCAGCACTTACGCCTCGTTACGCACGCCAGAATGATTTTTTTTTTGGCGATGATGATAGCGATCGAGGGAAAGGGGAGGCATTCCCAAACTAGAGCTTAAATTAAGGGAAAAGCGTAAAATCAACAGCACGGCCTGCTAGAAACAAAAGGCATGGAAAACGCAAACATCAACAATTCGGACAAATAACGGCATGGGCAAAAAACATTTATGGCACGGCGGCATAGCTGTAACTGCACACGTACACATACTCATCCACAGGAAAATGGGTGGAAATGTCTAAGCGTGCCAGTGTGAGTGGAAAATATGACAACACATATGCACTGCTGACAGCCATTTTAATGGAATATGCGGCAAGGCACCGCCGGCGTTAACTAATCTAGCCAAATAGGAGCAAATAAATACCAGACTTGAAAATAGAAATGCCACAGATAGCAGGCTACTATCCCGCCTCCAGTGGCCCCATCATTTTTTTCCTCTATTTGTTTTAATATTTTCATGTTTTGTGTGGAACTGGAGATTGGATTTTGGTATGTGCGTCATGTCATCGAGCACCTGCTGCTGCTGGTGCTTTTGCTGCCTTTGCTGCCACCCGTATCCCCTGTTAATTCGTGCGTTCTGTCCTTGCTTATCTGCCGACTTTGGCCCGTATCCGGCTGTATCCTGGCGTATCCTGTCTGCGAGCTGTCAGCGCGGCGACAGCCCGGCGCTGCAGCGACTCGCGCGCCCAATTCATTTACAAAACACGCACAGCCATCCGTTCGTCCGTCCGTATAGTTGGGTACTCCGATGCTCCACGTTGCGACGGATCCTTTTTCGGGGGAATGGGATATGTTTGCACAGGATTCGGGCTCACTTGACACACAAAACATGTTGTCGAGGCCGGCTGGAAAATATGTAGCAAGCAAATAGGGACAAACACTGCGGAATCGAAGATGAATTTCAAGCGAGACGTTGGCCAACTGATGAGTGGGAAAAATCTGATGGAAAATCAATAATCGTTGGAGGGGCACGTCGATCTGGTTTTCAATTTCAACAAGAATTACGCTTAATTGACGCTCAAGTGACAGCCGCACGAAGTGGCTAGTGGAAGTACTCGCCGCAAATCGTCTTAACTTTTGCCCCATCTCGACCAAATCTGAACCCAACCCTCCTTCCCCTACCGACAGACCTCAAGCAACCGCATTACCGACCTCAACCTGAACCCCAGATTCTCAGGTACACAAACGCAATCACGCACACTCCACTTGGACACACTCGCCAGTTGGCAACTCGTGCTCGCCTCGATTGACCAAGTTTTCAATTATTTACAGGTAATTTGGTTCAAAGACACCATGCAATTGGATACCACGGAGCGGCACATCATGGAGACGCGGGGATCGCGGCACACGCTGATTATACGCAAAGTGCATCCGCAGGACTTTGGCAACTATTCCTGTGTGGCCGAGAACCAGCTCGGCAAGGCACGCAAGACCCTGCAGTTGAGCGGAAAACCGAACGTTGCCGTTTTTAATTCACCGCCAATCAGTCAGTACAAGGACAGGTAAGACATAGATTGGTAGTATGTATGGGTGTGGGTGGGAACTTCATACCACGTGCCAAGTTAAACAATGCCTGACTGGCTTTCCTAATTACGAGAGTAGTAGTTTCACTACTTTGTAATTGAGCATAAAATGCAAAATCCTTAACAAATGTCAGGTTTAGAAGCTTGATTGGACATCGGACACCGTCCAGAAATGATGCACTGCGCCCGCTTTCTGGGTAACTTTATTAGATTAATTTCGTTGACTGACATGGCAACCGGCTGACGGACGGACAGCCCTCTGGGCCGCCAGTGCGTATACGTAACGTAACGTATGAAACTTTTAATTGGATTAGCTGTCATCAAACACACACACACAGGCACACACACTCGCTTCATAAGTGGGCAGACAAAGGCGGCTAGAGATAGAAAAAGGGGCCAAAAGGAGTGGGAAGTCAGCAGTCAGCCAAGCGACAAACAAGCTCACATCTCACGTCACACTCGAATAAAATGGCAGAGGGAATAGACATGCCACATGAAGAGACCGACAGCTACATAGCTTTGCACTGGTTTTTCAGCAGTGGAGTGGCAGGCAAAACACCTTTTAATAATTTAACTCGAATGGAGTCCAATAATCCGTTAAAAAATGTTCGAACTGTGCAAAAAGTCAGCTGGCGTGGCCATCATAATTCGGAGCAGCCATTTTGCGCATACGCCTCGTTAAAGCAACTTTGCAAAAAGCAACTAACCGAACATTTTGGCCATGTCAACTTTTGCGCTGATTTCATTTCGTTTCATTTGGTTTGATTCGCTGCCGGAAACTGCTGCCGGCAATTAAGCTACCAAAAAGCCCCAACCGAGCACACAAAGTACGCAAAAATGGTCCCTTTTCAACCGTCTGGCGCCAGTCGCCGGCTCTTCAATTGTTAATAATCATTTTTATTGCTTGCGTTAGTTTTATGCTATATGCGAAAAGTTTTCTGATTGGCGTTTTATGTTTTTATTGTGCCCAGGACTTGAAGTTATTAGTTCGCATGGCCCAATAATCATACAGAATACATCGAGAGCAAAACAAATAATAGGGCCGAGGCCGAACAAAACAGGAAGCCGAAAAGGACGTCAGGGTCTCGCTGGCATCCCTATCCATCCCTGTGCTGATTAACATTCAAATTGTGTGCCGACTTTATCGCAAAGCAATGAACTTGCGCCTTTTGTAATGGCAAATAGCGACATCCAAGGAAGTGGGGTTCCCGTAATTAGTTGTTTACTTGAGCAGCTCCACTGGAGTGTGTCCATCAACTCCGGCAACTAATGAGCTGCTCCAGCCTTAAAGCATCCTCTTCTCCTGGGGTAGGGCATAAACCTTTAATCCAAGCAAGGGGCAATGGCCAAAAATGCAGTTTGATTACCCCCCTCGTTGTGTCCCTAATCACGGCACAATGCTCCCAGCTGAAGTCAGGGGTCGGTCATATAACTTCATTTACACTTGAGCTGAGAATGTGGCAGGACTGTTGGCTTTTCGGTTGAATGGACGCATTGTGCGAGAACAATTTCTGAAATGCAACATCCAAGGGGCGGGGGAGATTGGGGCAGCTGGGCAAACAGGGCGCCAGTAACAAAGGAGTGGGCCGGCATTATGTTAAGACTGCAGTAACAGCAAGCGGCGAACCCCGGACAACAATGCTGGGAACTGCGAGCTGCGAGCTACGAGCTGGCTCTACGCAGTATCTTAACCCAGCCATTGTCGTCAGCCATTGATTATGTTGTTGTTGTCACTCTGGATGCCCCTCCATGCCCTGCTGCTTCCTCAATTCGAGCTCCAGCCATTCTTGCTGCGTGTTGGCCTTAACTGCAGCAGTGGCTCTCAATGGAGAATTTAACAATTACATATTGATTGCAAGCGCCTCGAAATAATTCCCCCGCCAACTGTTGCACGCGAAAAACTTTGCGATAACCAAGCCACTCAGTCACTAACCTCCACCTCCTTCCCCTTTTAGATACAATATCTCCTGGGCCGTCGACTCGCACACACCCATCGAGGAGTACAAGCTGTCCTTCCGCAAGCTGCCACAAGGACACGAGGTCGTTGGCAACGCCATCGACTCGCCATCCTCCTCCTCGTCGCTGTCCTCGCTCTCCTCGTCTTCCTCCTCATCATCGTCCCAGATGTACGGCTCCGGCTCCGGGCTACATGCGCATCGGATTGGCAGCAACATGGGCGGATTGTCTGGCAGTGGCAGCTACTCCGGCTACGGCAACGTGATTCACTGGGGCCACAACGATTGGCGCGACGTCGTCCTGCCGGCGGTTCCCGTTTCGCATCACTATGTGCAGGGCATGAGCTACATGGTCCGTGGCCTAGATCCCGATCAGCACTACGAAGCCACCGTGCAGTCCAGGTGAGTCGATGCAGTGCCATATAATTTATGCAAAACTTTACGCCTGCATTAGGGGGAAAGAGACCGTTCTCAGTATATTTATGTTTAACTTTAGTTTATGATCTTTGAAAAACAGTTATGAGTTCAATAAGCCTATTTATTATATTCTAGACATTGAACTCTCATAAAAACAATTCTTTTTGACAAATAACAGAAGTAGATGTATAAAGAAAAGATAACTAAAAATTGCATAGAAATTTGACTATGTCAAAAGCCCTTTTAATACATTTTTCTTAGAGCTTCGATTCTGTAGACATACAATTTTTTTAAGATATATAAGATATTTGCAAGATATATCTAAATCGGTACACTGTGCACTGGATAATTTAACCACTCGAAATATAAACTGTACCCGCAATGCGGGGGAGCCGTCATCATTAGCAAGCATTTGCATATTAATACCGGCAATGTTCCTGAGCTGCATAATTAATACCGCACACGGTTATCCATTGCAGGAATCGTTACGGATGGAGCGATTTGACCAACAGTTTTGTTTTCTCCACATCATCCAATGGTGAGTACAAACTGCAATATCTGTTTCTATAGCGTCGGCAAACACATAAAAACATCCTTTGCACAAGGCATACATGCGAATACCCTAACAGGAAATTAAAGTAAAAATTGTGTTCCATTTGATTTATAAAAGTGTTTAATCTTTTAGGGTACTACCACCTCGGCTAGCCGTGGGTCAATTCAATCCCATTTGCTTGTATACTTTCTGTTGCTGGCTGCATGCATAATAATTTGGTATTATGCGCTGCTTTCGCCGATTATCCACAAAAATCACAATGAAGCTGCAGCACGCAAACACAAAGGCAAGCCATAAAAATAGCAAAAAAAAAATCGAATCGCTTTGTATCGCAGCCAGAGGAGAAATATGTTCAAGCTGTCATAACTTAATGCAGTTAAATTTATTGCTGAAGCGGGCCAGTGAAGCGTGAAGTGAACACGTCGCTTTCTCGTTTGTTTTCGTTGCGAGAATTTCAGCAATCATTTCACACTCTCACATTCAGTCCACCTTGCACATGCACAGCATGTATCTTATCTCACACTCTTTAGAGCACTCTCAGGTAAAAATTGGAGTTAAATGAGATACTTTAAGTAGTGATCAGCCATTATTCACTTAGTAACGATTAATTCCATGTACAAATCATTATCGAATGGGTGATGATATGTTTATTTCGGGAAAAAATAATTAAATGATGCAGTGTCCTCTTTTCGATAAAGTTGTAACACTGGCTTTAAATTATTAATATTGTTTATTCCATTCAACTTGTAACTTAAATTTAACAAAACTTCTTTAATTATGCAAAAGCGTCCGATCGAGTCGAGATTCTGGCGGCGATTGATTTAGCGAGGAGTTGCCAGACATTATTGTCTGCAGTTGATTACTTCCTTTTTAGTATATTTCCAGAGAAGGGAGACAAAGACTAGTAGGTGAGACCGCTCCTGGTAACTCTGGTCTCATCACCAACACTACCGGATCCCACATTCGGCCTTCCTGACGCTTGATTCGACCCGAATGGTTTCATAAATTCTGCAACTGTCTTAGTCCTATATGGCCCTTCTCCTTGTCCTACTCTTTGAACTTCATAACGCCCATGATTATTGATCTTGACTACTTTATAAGGCCCTAAGTACTTTCCTTTCAACTTCAAGCCTGTTCCGTATTGGGTACGTTTAATAGCTACTAAATCGCCAACCTCAAACTTATTTTCTACCTTTCTTTTAGAGTCAAATGCCTTTTTATTTTCTGTTTGAATATCCTGAATATTTTGCCTTGCTTTCCCTCGCAACTTTTCTCTTTCCTCGTCTAGCTCGGAAATCAAACACTCTTCAATTAATTCTTTTAACTCTGCATTGCTCGAAACACGCATATCAAGGCCTGTTAGCAACTTGAACGGAGAAACCTTTGTACTCCTTGGCTCAGTGTTATTAATCGTCTGTTGTACCCTGCCAACTTGCTTATACCAGCACCCTGGATTTTCCTGGCTCAGTTTTGATAACATTGGGACCACTATCTTGTGCATTCGTTCTACCTGTCCGTTACCCCTGGGAACTCCTGTCGCAATTAGCAAATGCTGTATATTTCCCTTTTCGCAATACTCTTTAAACAAGTGTGACGTAAAAGCGGCTCCTCGATCCGATACGATTCTGTATGGGTTACCGAAAAGAACTGATTGACGCTCCAAGCAACTCAGTACTTCTTCAACTCCTGTGCTTCGTGTGGGATACAACCATACGTACTTAGAAAAAGCATCAACTATAACGAGAATGTGATTATAGCGTTTTTTGGTTAAGTCCATCGGGCCAACATGGTCTATATGGTATGTCACCAAAGGTCTGTCACCTTTGTCAATCGGTTTCAGAAACCCTTCCTGCTTCCCAGCTTTCGCATTCACCAAAATACACTCTACACAGCTCTCAACAATCCTCGCTATCTTTTCTTTCACTTTCGGGATGTAATATGACTTTTCGATCAATTCTTGAGTCTTTTTGGATGAAAAATGACCTTGCTTGTGTGAATTTCGAATTATCTCATCTTCCATCAGTGATGGAACTACAAGCAACTCCTTATTTGGGTCCTTAAATAAAATTCCATTCGATATGTAGAAATCGTCATACTCTTTGGTTTCAACAACACTCTTCACTGCCTTCGTCCAATCATCTGTTTGCTGTGCCTCTCGCAAGCGATGTATTAAACGCGTCTACATGTCTCATCTTGTTACCTGACCTATGTTCGATTTCATAATCAAAGTCTTGCAAGTACATTGCCCAACGTGAAACTCTAAGCGGAATCTCCTTCTTCTTCATAGTCATGGCAAATGCATTGCAGTCTGTGACTATTTTAAATCTTTTCCCAAGAACGTAAACTCGCCACTTCACCAAAGCTCCAATAACTGCTAGCACTTCCAGTTCATAAGAATGGTACTTCTCCTCGCATGGTTTGGTCTTCCGACTCATATAGAAAATTGGGTGCCACAAACCATCCTCCCTGTCTCGCTGAAGCAACACGGCTCCGAATCCGAATTTCGAGGCGTCGGTATGAATTTCCGTTTCAAGTGAGTGGTCATAAAGCTTTAGAACGGGCCCACTGATTAGCGCTGCTTTTAATTGATCAAACGCTTCTACCTGCTTTTCCTTGAACTCAAACTTCGATTCCTTGCGTAACAAATCAGACAACGGCTTAGCAATCACTGCGTAATTTTCTACGAATCTTCGGAAATACGACGTCAAACCTAAAAACCTTTGGATTCCCTTTTTATCACGAGGAATCGGAAAATCAGCCACCGCTCTTGTTTTCTCCTCACCTGGTTTGATTGTGCCCTTTTCTATGATATACCCAAGGAATTCAACTCTCTTCTTGAGTATCTGACATTTGCTCCAATTTATGCGCAAACCGCTTTCTTCTGCCAACTTCAAGACTCGCTTTAATTTCTGCATGCCCTGTTCTACACTCCTGCTAGCAATGATCACATCATCCATATACACTACTGCATCATCGTCTTTTATCACCTCTCGTAGGACTGCCATTATAAACCTGGTAAACACCGCTGGGGAGTTCGTGATGCCGAAAGGTACAAACATAAACTCATACTGTCCACTCATGGTTACAAACGATGTGTACTTTTGAGATTCTGCTGACACAGGAACGTGAAAGAATCCATTTGTCAAGTCCAGAGTTGTAAAAATCTCTCCACCTTGAAGCTTTTCAATAACACAGTCTATGTGTGCTGTTGGGAAATTATCTCTGACTATCTTTTCATTCAGCTTGCGGTAATCGCAGCACAAACGCTTCTTCCCATTCTTCTTATCCACCAAAACAACTGGCGAAGCAAACTCGGACGTACTTGGCTTTATTATTTTATCCCTAAGCCATTCCTGCACCTGGTCATCGACTATCTTTTGGTCACAATAGGCCAAACGCCTTGGATGTTGAAATACCGGTAACTCGTCTGTCAACAAAATCTTCATCTCCACTGGCGAACTGAGATTTCTTATCGGCTTATAATTCTCCACCAAGAATTCTACTTCTGCAGCGACACCATTACTTAAATGATCTAGTTCTAAGCCTGGCTTACTGTCTTCGGTGCTTAGCATACAAAGGTTATCAAATTCTTGCATTAGTTGCACACAGGAACTTTCTGTAATCTGTTCCTCCTGTGGCTGCGTACATTGAACCCTTTTCGAAAACACGGTTCCTCTTTTCGTAACCATCATGTCGACGTTTTCTAAAATAGTTGTTCCTAAGATTGCATCAAACTTCATGTCCTCGTCTGGAATCACGTGGAACTCGATACACATTTCGATGCCATCGATATTCACTGGCGCTTTGAAGCTGCCGAAAGTTAGCACCTGACTTTCTCCAATTCCTGTCAAAACTCTTTGCCTGCCCATCAAACTGCCAACGCCTACGCCTAGTTTTAAGAATACACGCCTACGCATTAGGCATAGTTCTGCTCCTGTATCTACAAGGCCTTTGAATTCAACATTCGAACAGAAAACGGATTTTACCTCCAAACCACAAACAACTGGTGCATGAGATTGTTTTGGGATTACTTTTTCTGCCTGGACTACATTGGTTCTTTCTTCTGTTTTGACTTGAACCTCCGCCTTACACTGCGCTGCTCGGTGTCCTGGCCGATTACATTTAAAACATTTCTCTTGCACTGGACAATCTCTCTTCATATGAGATGGATCTCCACATCTGAAACACTTTCTAACCGACTCTGTTGTCTTTTCCTTGGCTGACTCATTTGCTACCTTACTGCCCTGAAAAGTATGCTTGCTTTCTGGCTTATATGTGCTTCTTGCCTTTTGGTATGCCTCTATCTGCCACTTCAAGTCTTTCAGATTTCTAGCCTGATACAGCATGGACTTATTCGATCTTGAGTCTGGGATACCTTCTACAAAGTACTCAATTAGACTTTCATCTTCCAAACGTATCGGTTTAGCTATCTCCATTAATGCATATAAAAACTCCTGCAATGATTCACCCTTACTTTGACGACGCTTTCCCAACCTGCGATGAATCTCGGCTGTAGATACCTGCACTCCGAACTCCAATGACAAGGCTAACTTCAAACTTTCCCAGTCCTTAATGTCTCTCTGGCTACGCACAAACATTTTAGCTGCTCCACTAAGTAATTGCTTTGCATAAACAAACTGCTGCAGCGGGCTCCACTCCACAGTAGCCGCACAATCTTCTAACTCCTCAATCCACAGATCTATATTTGGGACTCCTGAGCCTGAAAACTGAGAAACACTTCCTTCGACGTCTTTCAATGTAAACCACGATCTAGACTGTCCCTGCGCTACTTGGCCATGTTGTCTTTCTTCTCTCCTATGGGGAACTGCCGGTGTGGACGATGTAGACCTAAAATCTGCGGGCTCACCCTCAGTCTCTGACTCACCCTCATCCATTAACCCAAAATGGTTTAGCAGACGTTGTTGTAATTGAGCCTTTAGTCCGGTTGTACTCATCTGCAGTTCTGACAACTTCCGTCGCAACTC